TCTCTGCCTCCCAAGTCCCAGCTAATAGGGAGGAATGGGGATTTTGCAGTATCCTTCCCCGGCCATGCCCACCAAGCCACGCCCACAGAACCGGTAGCAAAGATTTTGAATCCCACCACTGCATGAAACTGCATGAAACTAAATTATAATTATATTAAACTATACTATATTTTTTGGCGTAAAAGACACACCTTCCCACCCCCCAAAATGGAGAAAATCTGGGTGCATCTTATACATTGAATACAGCATTTATGGCCTCCCCACAACTTTCACAAAAATGGACGTGCAGAGGGTTTGGCAAAGTGCCCCTGGGGGCTGGGGAGGGCAAAAAGGAGCGAAAAACAGGCTGGTTTTTTTGCTCATTTTTGCCCCCCTAACCCGTAGGAGCACTCTACAAACCTCCCAAAGCCTATGCGTGCCCTGTTTTTGGCTAAAAACTGCCCATTTTCATGAAAAACGGCCTGTTTTGTGCTCGTTTTTGCCCCCCCCCCCAGGAGCACTTTGCAGGCTTCAAACTCCCTGCATGCCCCAATTTGTACAAAAAATGAGGTGTGCACAGGGTTTGGGAGGCCTGCAGAGTACAAAAACTTTTTTTTTTAAATTTACCTCTTAAAAATCTTGGTGCATCTTCTACTCTGAAAAATACAGTATATACCAATTTTTCGGAATGGATGAATGCAGGTTTGTTTGGCTGATTTGCTTTCTCTTCTGGTATATAGGTAATCCTCGAATTGTGACCACAATGGGGACCGGAATTTTGATCATTTAGTGATGCAGTTGCTAAATAAGTCATCATGTGACTGGACCCAATTTAGGACCATTTTTTTTACTGCAGTGAGCTGCGCAGTCATTAAGTGAATTCATTTTGCTTAACCGACTTTGCTTATCGGAGGTCAGCAGGGAAGGTTGCACATAGTGATCGTGTGACTGCAGGCCACTACAATCACCGTTAGTGTGAGCTGGTTGCCAAACACTCAGATTGCAGTGACGTATCCGTGGAATAGGTGTGATGCTGTAACTTCAAGTATGGCACTAGCCATAGCCCTTAGGCTTATATGCCGCTTGACAGTGCTTTCCAGCCCTCTCTAAGCTGTTTACAGAGTCAGCCTTTTCGCCCCCAACAATCTAGGTCTTCATTTGACCCACCTCGGAAGAACGGAAGGCTGAGTCAGCCTTGAGCCTGGAGAGATTCGAACTGCTGAACGGGTCATGGGTCACTTTTTCAGAGACTCTCGTAACTTCAAGTGGTGGAGTGGCTAAAGTGCGGTACTGCAGGCTACTTCAGCTGACTGCTAGCTGCAGTTCAGCAGTTGAAATCTCACCAGGCTCAAGGTTGACTCAGCCTTCCATCCTTCCCAGGTGGGTCAAATGAGGACTCAGATTGTTGGGGGCAAGAGGCTGATTCTATAAACCGCTTAGAGAGGGCTGGAAAGCACTGTGAAGCGGTA